ATTTGATTGGCCGACTTAGCATAGAGGTGGTGTACGTGCCGGTGGACTTGCCATTTGGCGCGGGGGGGGGGGGGGGGGGGGATGGGGGAGGGGGAGTTTACCTATTGATGGTGTGAAAAGGGAATTTATAAGAGCTGCGAAAGTTTGGGGTACCACTACTTGAAAAATATACTGTACCATTGAAAATTAGTTTAATGTTTAGATCGATTTAGAACATCTTTCCAATGGTTGCTTAATTTGAAACCATCTTCTCGGTTGAAATTGTGTCTGTGTTTGTAGATCTGAATTGCCTCGTGAATAAATCTCTGATAAAAACCCGTGGGTTTGCAAAGAACCTTGGTATCGGAGAAAATTATATCGTGATCACCCACAGCGTTGTAACAGTGATCAGCCACGGCAGAAGAATTCGTTTTGCCATATTTCAAATCTGATTTGTACTCGCGAATTCGGTCAGAGACATGTCGCTTTGTCTCCCCGATAGAGCAATCACCGCAGCTACAACTCAATTTGTAAACCCCGGGGTACTGTAAGTCAGGAATGACATCCTTCACGGATGGGATCAGATCACGAATTTTGTGTACTGTATTGAACCGGACCTGGATCTTGTGTTTGTTTAGAATTTTGGCAATATTTTAGTAACGCCTGCTATATATGGTAGTGTGATGGTTTTGACCGGACGATCAAGTGGTTGTTTCTGTATGGAGGGAGAAACAGCTTGGCGGATGGTATGGTCGGAGTATCCATTCCTTTTGAGGGCCAGGTGTACATGTTTTAATTCACTGGTCAGGTGGTGTTGGTCCGAAATGCAATGAGCCCTATGGTATAAAGTTTTGATGAGTGAATTCTTTTGGGCTGGGTGGTGGTGGGAATCAGGTTTCAAGTAGGAATCTGTGTGGGTGGGTTTCCTGTAGACAGAATGCCCCAATGAGCCATCAGGTCTCCTCTCAAACAGAACATCTAAGAATGGTAGGTTGCCATCTTTCTCCACTTCCATGTGAATTTGATGGCGGGATGTCTGGAATTGATGTGGTGTAGGAAAAGGTTCAGAGCTGGAAGGCCATGTGGAAGAGATATGTGGATGACACTTTCGTCATTTGGCCACATGGCCTTCCAGCTCTGAACCTTTTCCTACACCACATCAATTCCAGACATCCCGCCATCAAATTCACATGGAAGTGGAGAAAGATGGCAAGCTACCATTCTTAGATGTTCTGTTTGAGAGGAGACCTGATGGCTCATTGGTGCATTCTGTCTACAGGAAACCCACCCACACAGATTCCTACTTGAAACCTGATTCCCACCACCACCCAGCCCAAAAGAATTCTCTCATCAAAACTTTATACCATAGGGCTCATTGCATTTCGGACCAACACCACCTGACCAGTGAATTAAAACATGTACACCTGTCCCTCAAAAGGAATGGATACTCTGACCGTACCATCTGCCAAGCTGTTTCTCCCTCCATACAGAAACAACCAATTGATACTCCCGTCAAAACCATCACACTACCATATATAGCAGGCGTTACTAAAAAGATTTCCAAAATTCTAAACAAACAAAAGATCCAGGTCCGGTTCAATACAGTACACAAAATTCGTGATCTGATCCCATCCGTGAAGGATGTCATTCCTGACTTACAGTACCCCGGGGTTTACAGATTGAGTTGTACCTGCGGTGATTGCTATATCGGGGAGACAAAGCGACATGTCTCTGACCGAATTCGCGAGCACAAATCAAATTTGAAACACGGCAAAACGAATTCTTCTGCCGTGGCTGATCACTGTTACAACGCTGTGGGTGATTACGATATGATTTTCTCCGATACCAAGGTTCTTTGCAAACCCACGGGTTTTTATCAGAGATTTGTTCACGAGGCGATTCAGATCTACAAACACAGACACAATTTCAACCAAGAAGATGGTTTCAAATTAAGCAACCATTGGAAAGATGTTCTAAATCGAACTAAACATTAAACTAATTTTCAATGGTACAGTATATTTTTCAAGTAGTGGTACCCCAAACTTTCGCAGCTCTTATAAATTCCCTTTTCACACCATCAATAGGTAAACTCCCCCCCCCCCCCCCGCGCCAAACGGCAAGTCCACCGGCACGTACACCACCTCTATGCTAAGTCGGCCAATCAAATGCTAATTTTTATGCTAATCCCTTTGTCAAGGCACCTTGTTTCCTCGCACACAGCTTAAAGGTCCGCGGTCTGAGCGTGGCTGTGTTTCACTCCAGCGCTGTCCTCGAGACAGCCTGATCCCTTCACCTGATGTAGGCCGCTTGTGTTGTGGCCGAAACGTCGTGATTTTTGTAGTTTTATTTTTTACCTACGTGACTTTACCGAATAGAACCAAATAGTATTGTGCAAGCCTCTTATAATTTTGTTGGTGGAGAAATAGACAAACGGCCCACCGGGCATTCACAATACCTTTGTATCTGTGTATGTATATGTAAAGTTTCGAAGAGATTTGAAACATTTTTTCGCCTAGGCAACGTCAGTTACCTCACGCTAGTCTATATATATAGAAAACATTTTTGGGAATGTGTGTCTGTTCGAAATGTTTAGCATACTTCCCAACATGCAACAAATTTGAAATTTGGCATGTGGGTAGCTTCCAGACTGTACACAATGCAAAACGTATAAAAATAGACTTTTATATATTTTTTTTTGGGGGGGGGGGGGGTTGCGCAATAATGGATATATTTTGCACGGCAAGTGAGCAGTGACGTCACATCTGTGATGTCACCCGTATGCGGCAGTGTCATGCAGTGTGCCTGCTGACATCACGCACCCCCCACCCTCCGCGTAGGCCGTGTATTAATCTAAGACAAGAATCAAACTCTCGGGCGAAGCCAGGTAGTAAAGCTAGTTAGAGTATATTTAAAAATAATACTAATTAAATTTTAAAATAACATCACTGGAACCATGTCCATGCAGTCATCGACTTACGAATATCCAACTTACGAACTGGTCACAGGAACTAATTATATTCGTAAGTTGAGGACTGCCCGATAGTGCGCTACAGCTACTGTTGTATATTTATCTGCTCACGTTCATTCTAGGCATACATAGCCAGTGGTAAAGGGTGGGTGGGTGATCCAAACTCCGTCTCAAAATACTCTCTCCCACAGTTATATTGATATACATTTTGGAAGACAATGCAATTAGCATGCATATGCTGGTAGACTTTGATATGTACAAAAGCTATGATGTCACATGGCATTGTGATGTCATAACGTCCGTACATAGCTCGTATCCAGGTCTCGTGTATGTATGTCGTTGAACGTCTTTCGCATGATACGTAGCCAACCGTGCTAACTCTACATCTTACAACCTCCAGTATAGTGATTCCGGTAAAATGCGTCCAACACATGATAAAGACATTCTTATTCATTCTAGGTGCAAACTCCGGTTATCCTCGCAGCAGCTTTTGGCTGGCCATCGAACAAAGATGGTCACCGCATCGCGTGGTGTCACATGCGACGCTGCTGCGGCCATCTGGAACGCTCTGCCTTCCAAATATTAGGAAGCCACTGGAGCTACGCACTTTTAAATCATCATCTAGATTGAAAACTCGTTTCTTTAAAACTCCTGTATGTGTTTAGTTTGTTGTCCTTCCCCCGCACCTCCGATTAGCACGGTTGGCTATGTACTGTGCCAAAGAAGTTAAACATACATAAAACATACATACAACATACATACAACATACATACAAAATACATACAACATACATACAGACTTGATTCGAAGCTTTCGTGACTGCAGGAATTATTCTTTGTTTTTTTTCGGTAAAGTCACGTATTAATAAGAAATAATAAAATAACAACATAATAGCGTACGACGTTTCGGTTGAAACACAAGCAGCCATCATCAGGTACAGAAGAGCTACATTTATGAGAGAGAGGAAACACATAACCCCAGATGTATATACAGACACCCAAGTAGGGGGAACTAACACAGATACAGCAGGGGGCACACAGAGAGAGAAGCATACCAAACAAACAGGGTTTAGCAAAATTTGTAAACCATATAAAGCAACACAGACGGTCGGTCAAAACACAATTAACGCATAGTCTGGTTAATTACACTATTTCAAAGATTGCTAAATTGCAAGTTAAGTATGAAATTTAAAATACAGACCGCGCACACACACATAGACATCCAAGTAGAGCGAACCAGCACAGACACGCACACAGTGAAGTCGCCTTAAATAGGCAGAGAAGGTAAGGCTGAGAGACAATGGGATAATTTAGCATGAGGTATGCATGGAGCAAAGGGGGCGCAGCAGCACACACTCGGAAACACCAGGGCCACACACAGGCAGAGACAGCACAGAGACACAAATCTAAGCCAAGACACAAAGGCAGATACACAAGCAGAGACAACACAAAGACACAAACCTCATACCTCCCCGTAGAGGTGGTTCAGACTTGATTCACTCTGTGCGTGTCTGTGCTGGTTCGCTCTACTTGGATGTCTCTGTGTGTGTGCGCGGTCTGTATTTTGAGTTTCATACTTAACTTGCAATTTAGCAATCTTTGAAATAGCGTCATCAACCAGACTATGCGTTAATTGTGCTTTGACCGACCGTCTGTGTTGCTTTATATGGTTTACAAATTTTGCTAAACTCTGTTTGGTATGCTTCTCTCTCTGTGTCCCCTGTTGTATCTGTGTTAGTTCCCCCCCTACTTGGGTGTCTGCGTATACATCTGGGGTTATGTGTTTCCTCTCTCATAAATTTAGCTCTTCTGTACTTGATGATGGCTGCTTGTGTTGCAACCGAAACGTCGTACGCTATTATGATATTTTATTATTTCTTATTTATACGTGACTTTACCGAAAAAAACAAAGAGTAACATTAATTCAACTTACATACAACATACATACAACATACATACAACATGCATACATCATGCATAGAACATACATATAACATACATACAACATACAAACATCTTTGATCTGTGCATGCTCTCGTTTTTGTTGACCACAGCTTTATCAATTCCCCAATGGAGATATACAATGGCCTTTACAGGCCACCTGGATGGGTGATGTGTCCAAGTGCGACGCCTCCATCACCGTCAGTGAAATCAAGACCCACGACTCTGGGAAATATCGCTGTGAGGTCACGGTGTATCCACAATACATGGAAGGCATTGGGTATCTACAGTTGAATGTCAACAGTCCATCAGGTTTGTGTTATTTCCTTTAAACGTCGTCTACATTACCACCCACAACTCTATCATCTATCCTATAGACATGATATAGAACTCAACATGTACACTTTAGAGCCATGGGCCTAGTGCCACGGTGAACTGGGTTCAACCCCTGGCTACGATCTCGTCACCACCAATGTACTTCAGAACCTTTGACTGCTCCTCACCGACATTTATGCAGTCTTAAAACAACGTCGCATAGGAGGTGACTCAGAGGTCAGAGTTCTGAGCTAGCGCCACTCAGAAGCATGGATTCAAGTCCAGACATTTACCCTCGAGTTCACCGAGTTCTAAGTCGAGTGAGTTGATGGACTAAGCTTCCCTTTATGCAATTCTGCACCTAATTGACGAAATTAAAACTCTGAGAATTAAAAGTATCTGGATGTTTGTCACGTGATAAGTGCTGTTCCATGTGGAAGAGCAATTTGGAAAAGTCCTGCTCCCAACTGCCTGGACCAGCAGAGGTCGCTTGAAGGATTCTCAGAGTCAGCACTCTGTGATATCCGCTCTGCGAACTGTTCTCTAGCAAGACACGTTGCACTACTCTGTGAGAAATCCCAATTAATGTTTATATTAGTGGCGGGACACAGGGATAACATTTGGTAACGAATTATTTTCGAGGAAACCCTTGCCCAACACAGCTTCATCTAACGCATGTTTTGGTTCTAGACGTTGGTGGCTGATGAGGTTTGTGTTCCACAACACAGGGGTGATATTTCAGTGATACGCAGTTTGACGCTGCTAACATTTTCATATCTGTATAAAAAAATGTATTCACGTGAGAGTGCTGCGTCCGTTGGAGTGTGTGAATCGACTGTGAGAGCGCTGTATTTACCGTGTATGTCTGTGTGTACGTGTGGGTTTGTTTTTTCGTGCGATAATGTAATGCACTCAAAACGCACAGCAGCAGCACAACGTAAATGTTCACACATTACCGCATTAATCTAGTTATTGGAAACGAGTCATACGGACGACTAGATGGTGAATCATTAATGTTCAAGTGACAGTGTTAGTGGCGAGCGTAGGGTGTGAGTGCCGTGGTGAGGGAAGAATGGAGACGGGGGTTTTGTGTTGTGTTGAAATTGACAAAGAGTGTACACACACACACAATACATGAGAACGACTCAACATCCGTTAGTACAATAACGAGGGTGGGCATCTTGTAGTATTAGTTAAACAAAGAGGGAGCGGGTGATCATTTCGAAGGCAGGAAGGCAAGGCGAGTTTTCCCACGAGGTCTGTTTTGTGTCCAACAAAGTTGTGCCCAACATGGCATTCCAGGAACGTAACCCCCCGCGTTCGACGAGGTCTGCCTGTTCTGTACTTTTAAAACGCGTTGTTACTGACAAATGTTTCGCGTTTGTACATTTAAATTAGAAAAGAAAATACGCTAATGTGGGCATTGTGTGTGGGTTTCCCTAGAACTCGTGGTTGTGACCCCAGATAAAATGGATGTCATAGTAGGCACTACATTTCTCCTGCCCTGCTCCTACACCTGCACAATCAGCAACGTTACCCACACGCTCGTGGAGTGGTTCAGGATCATCGATGGGCGAGAAGAGAGGGTGAGTTACTCCTCTGTCCATTCTGTTCGCCATTTGCCGCTAAATTGCAGCAAGCGCATGCGTGGAATTGATCAGTATTGTTCGTAAACCTGGTCACGTGACTCTTGAGCATTTAAAATATCCAACGCAGATGAACAGATTTCGATTTAAAGCTTTCGTGACTGCAATGATTCATCTTCTTTGGTTCTTTCGGTAAAGTCACGTAGAATGAGAATAAAATAATAAATTGATAAAATAAAATAACACAATAATATTCTCACGACGTTTCGGCCACAACACAAGCGGCCTTCATCAGTTGAGCCTTCTTATCCCGAAGTCTGTTGAAAGATCTTAAGGATGTGTGGAATCTCTCCCCGTAGAGGCGGTTAAATTTCGATTTAAAGCTTTCGTGACTGCAATGATTCATCTTCTTTGGTTCTTTCGGTAAAGTCACGTAGAATGAGAATAAAATAATAAATTGATAAAATAAAATAACACAATAATATTCTCACGACGTTTCGGCCACAACACAAGCGGCCTTCATCAGTTGAGCCTTCTTATCCCGAAGTCTGTTGAAAGATCTTAAGGATGTGTGGAATCCCTCCCCGTAGAGGCGGTTAAATTTCGATTTAAAGCTTTCGTGACTGCAATGATTCATCTTCTTTGGTTCTTTCGGTAAAGTCACGTAGAATGAGAATAAAATAATAAATTGATAAAATAAAATAACACAATAATATTCTCACGACGTTTCGGCCACAACACAAGCGGCCTTCATCAGTTGAGCCTTCTTATCCCGAAGTCTGTTGAAAGATCTTAAGGATGTGTGGAATCCCTCCCCGTAGAGGCGGTTAAATTTCGATTTAAAGCTTTCGTGACTGCAATGATTCATCGTGAGAATATTATTGTGTTATTTTATTTTATCAATTTATTATTTTATTCTCATTCTACGTGACTTTACCGAAAGAACCAAAGAAGCAGATGAACAGGTTTGGTATTCATATTCTTAGTTCTTGCTGTAAAGTCACGTAAATAAAACAACAAATATAAAATAAAAATAATAAAAGATAAAATAAATAAATAAAACGATAATGATTAAAGCAAAAAACCCACAACGTTTCGATCACAAGACAGGCGGTCTTCATTCGGCGGTTCAAGACCGATTGTGTTGCGGTCTTCAACTGCCTGATGAAGACCGATTGTGTTGCGATCGAAACGTCGTGGCTTTTTGCTTGTAGTATTTTCAATTATTTTTTATTAAAGTTTTTTTTTATGTATGTTTACGTTACTTTACCGAAAGAACCAAGAATATGAATTCCAGCAGTCACGAAAGTTTTAAGTCAGGTTTGGTATTTTATATCCAGATCGAGGGCCCCTGGTCACGTGACTGGGTGGAGGCATGGGCCAGTCATTTGAAAACAGTCTCCATGTGAAGCTCCTTTGTCAACAGTTAAACCAGCCCAGTCGCAGCCCTGGGGACAGAATCATTCTCGCGTTTTATTTGAACAAATTTTATACTGAAATAATATAACGCATTTGATCTGTGTGCTGCTTCTACCTTTATTGACCACAGATTTATCAATACCCCGATGGAGAGACCAGCCACTGGCCTTTACAGGCCACCTGGGTGGGTGATGTGTCCAAGTGCGACGCCTCCATCACCGTCAGCGACATTCAGACCCACGACTCTGGGCGATATCGATGTGAGGTCTCGGTTTATTCCCCAACTGTGCAATACCACATTGGGTATCTACAGCTGATTGTCCACCCGCGAACAGGTTTGTATCACGCCCTTCATAGCTCTGTCCTACCACTCACTACTCCCATCATCTGTCATGTAGCCCAGACCTAACACTCAATACCACACGACAAATCCACGTTTTCCCTTTCGTGTTTGGTTTGTTGTCCTTCCCTTGTACCTCCACGCTTGGCTACGTACGGTGTGAAAACAGTTCAACACAAATAGGTACATGTGACAGAACCATGCACCTTGAACCATGGTCATCTCCTGCCTGTGACTCTTCACTTTTAGTGTCCAATTAGCAAACAATCCGGATGTCAAGTCTCGTGAGTTTGTCATCTTAGCCTGGTCACCTGTTCCTTCTCAACGGATTATCCAGGTTCAATAATTCAATAAATAAAAACAGTACTAGGCAAACATCATAACATTATATTTGATTATCTGATATTGCACTTAATTTGGCTAATTCAAAGCTCTTGGCAGTTAAACCAGGCAGAGCTCGTCTAAAGCAAGGGGTTACTTTCCTGGAAAATGGTGTGTTGGACTAAACCGTGTTCGGCAAATTATAGACCTAACTGGAAAACTATGGTTGCATTCCTGAGTCCAAAATTATCACCCCCTTGCTCTTTGTTTTACAAATTCTACGTAATGCTTGTGCTTGTTTGCATAGTAAAGAATGCTGAGTCGATCTCCATTTCTTGTGTGTGTGCACTGTTTAGTTTTTAATGTCGCCTCAACACAAAACCCCCGTTTCCACTCCCCTTCCCTTACCATGGCACTCACACCTAATGCTTGCCCCTAACACTGCTATTTGAACGTTAAACGATTCGCCATCTAGGCATTGATATGACATTGGACGGTTAGATGCATGCAGCAATATGTAAACATTTGCGTTGTACGTACTGGTCGTGAAAGACTACGTGTTAAACATTACTCGATTTTGCAATGCATTATCAGAAAATAATCCTCCCTGCTCCAATGTCACTTAAACTAAACAATTTTTTATTTTACCTGGTAAGGCCCATTGAGCTATATTGGTCTTTTTCAGAAGCGACAAATGAGAGCTCAACGAAGTGGCTTATCATATGGACATTTAACGCAGCCAAAAACTCTAAATGGATCTTTATATATATATGGAAAGGACATCCGGAGGACCCGGAGAAAAATCCACGCCATCACGGGGAGAGTAAACACGCAAACTTCAAAAATACAGCATCAGGTGTCAGGGTTGGGCTCGAACCCACAACCCCTGTCTACCAGGCGAGGTAGTTAACATCTCACAACCTCGGCTCCACATGATGGGACCTCAGAGGTAGCTCTAAGATATCCCCTTCTGTGGACCGTTCTCAAACATACAGCATTGCACTGCTCTGCTAGAGACCGAAAGATCTGCTTCGTCTAACGGAAAGTATTTGCCCGCTTTCTCTGTCCTAATTGTCACCACTGCGTTGTGAGACCAGCACCTCCTCCTCCTCCTCCAGAGGTTCATTCCCACTGCTAATGTGACCATCGTGGGTTTGTCCACAGACCTGGCCGTTGTCACCCCGGATGCAAAGGACGCCACAGTAAACAGCACGGCTCTCCTGCCCTGCTCTTACACCTGCAACATCACGGGTATTAGACACACGCTGGTGGAGTGGTTCAGAACCATAGACGGACGCGATGAGAAGGTGCGTCACTGTCACACTTGCACACTATTACTTACACCCTCCTGCTCACAATGATGAGTAAATGTTCTTTATTAACGCCCGTTCATGCTAATTTATTTCTATGGAGGTCACCCCCTCTCCTTTTCTGGTCCCATTGTCAACTTGAAAGTTTTTCAGACAGCAGTATAGTATTGTATATTCAGCTACAATAAATCAAATTCTCTCTGTTCTCTCTACTCTAAAGAAGAGTCATTTCCTAGGTGTATTATATATGTATCTGTTATAATCAATGTTATTTACATACTATGTCAGTATTCTGAATATGAGTACGTTTATTATGTGGACACAGTCATGCCCTGGTGTTTTCTCACGTTTGCTGTCAAGGTTTGTAAGATCATACACAGAAAGAGAAGCCTCAGGCCATTGCAGGTAACGTGGGTGGGTGATGAGTCCACGTGTGACGCCTCCATCACCATCAGCGACATCCAGACCCATGATGCTGGACAATATCGCTGTGAGGTCACGATTTATCGATACGACACGCCAAGCATGCAAGACATCGGGTATCTGCAGCTCAACGTTCACAATGAACCAGGTTTGCATTATGTCCTCCCTGGATCTATTTAACACCCACCGCTTTATCATTTTGTCTCCATTGTCCAGATTTACCACGAAAATTCACTCTGTGGCACAGCCATAAAGGGTCTTTGTTATTATTCACAGATATCACATCACGTAGTATAATAAACTCGACTCTTTGTTGAGTTGTCTACATAAGCCAATGACAGCTTAAGTTCCTGTCTCTGTCTGTGTCCCATGATATTGTTGTCCACCTGTGGGATGTGGAATGCTTTGATGTCGGAAAAAATAGTTTCTTAGCTCAAAGGGCTTTACTCAGGGATTAATTTTCTGATTCGGATTCACTTCAAGTGCCAATGTGGGAGCTGCAAGGCGATTTATGGCGTCAACAGGAAACCAGCACAGAGATGATTGACCTCTCCTGCTGGCTGTCCATGACTCCGTTTGGCGTCATTGCCTGCTGCCAACATTGGCCCAATAAGTCATCAAAAGCTGTTCTACCATTCACCTAATGAACACGATGCTGGGCAAAACATGCATTGAGGGTGAACACCTTGCCGGTGAACACAGCCGCAGGAGAATCGTGAACAATGGCCTCCCCCTAGCCTGGGTTATTATAGCACCATCACTATTTAACATTCACAGGCAGGCATCGCCAGACGCTGGGGGTTACGTTACTAGAAAATGACGCATTAGGAAGAACCGTGTTTGACATTGTGGGAACACTAGGGTTGCCTTCCTGGGTCCGAAATGATCACCCCTCCCTCTGTGTTACTAATTCTACAAGATTTCTGCCCTTCTTATTATACTAAAGGATGCTGAGTTACTCTCCATTTCTTACGTGTGTACACTCCTGAACATGAAACCCCCGACTCATTCCCGCACCGCAGAACTCGCGTCCAATGCTCGCCCCTAACAATTATTATTCCCAGCCCGACGCTTGCCCCTGACTCTGTCGCCGATTCGCCATCTAAAGTCTTTAATGAATCGACGGCGAGATGCTTACGGCACTGTGAACATTCCCACTGCATCGCTGTGCATGTGGAGTGTGTTACTTTGTCACACAAAAGACTCTCAAAAACACACACAAACTAAAAGATGCAATGGTAATTAAATAGTTCTTACAGTCGATTCATTCACACTTGCAATGGATGGATCATCCTCACGGCACTAGTTTTAGACACGGAGATGAGAGTCTTAGCAGCGTCCAGCCGAAACATCACCTCCCGTGTTCCAGAAAACAGACCTCATTAGGTCTTGCACCGCGTAGATCCAGAACGCGCGTTTGATACATCCACAGCGCGTCTGCTCCTCCTTTCAACCAGGAGGAATAGACGCTGTGCAGAACAGAAACGAGAATGGTGCGACGGATCTCAGCGATCACAGGACTGGATCGGTCAGAACTGAAGAGCTGGGGAAGGAGGCGGGAGTGGCGGTGCTCATCTCTCTCGAGCGGAGAGAGGGAGTCGGCTCACACGGCTGGGGCTGCCTTAGTAGAGGAGGGGGCAACCGCAAGGGCGATGAACGTGGAGGCACCAGGGCAGAGACAGAGGGGCAGGCCGAGAGCGAGGGGAGTAGAAGTGGCGAACGCGGCGGATTCGAGGGACTGGGGAGTAGACGCGGGGGTGGCCCAAGGCAGCAACGAGCAGAGCAGGAGGAGCAGCAGGGCAGAGACCGCACGAGAGGAGGGGGACAAGGCAGGAAGAGGAAGAAGACGTTGACTGCGTCCATCTCGTCGGTGTTCACGTGTTGCTGTGTCGTCTGTGTTTGTGTTTAACAGAACCGAGCGACGCAACACCCACGCCAAGCCCAGCTCCAGCTCCATCACCTGTTGCTGGCATCGTCCTTGGAGTCATTGCTCTCCTAGTTGCTGCTGGAGTTGTTTTTTACTGCAGGAGGAGGAGAAGGACGAGACCACGTCAGCCAAGAGAACCAGAAGCCCGGTGAGTATCGACCGCACTTGCACCAGAACCTCACAGTGAGTGAGAGAACACGGCTCACAATGACCACGCCAGAGACCCCTGAGCCGGCCCTCTCCAAGGGCCTGAGTTTGACTCCAGCTCCATGCCTGCCCGTGACTCAGAGCTGTGCTCAGTGGAGCCTGCGGGAGCTCCTGGCAGCTGGGACCCCTGAGTTAGACTCCCAGCCGTGGCTGCTGTCAGTGACAGGGGCTCGATATGAGTGGGGGTGGTGATGTGAGACTGCATCAGTCATAGGAGACAATGGTCTCAATGGGCTCTCACGTAGTTAAATAAAATACATCACAAGAGACAAATATGTCAATGGGCTCTCACGTGGCTAAACAAAGGATATCTGTGAAATCAGGGTCAATGATTGCTGTTGTCAGTGGTTCCATGCGGGTGCCAGGCAGGTGTGAGTCGTGGGTTAGACTCCCAGCCGTGCCAGTGACACAGGCTGCATGTGGACGAGGGTGGGGATGTGTGATCGATGCGTGTCCACTTCTCTCTCAGCAGGCCTCAAGAAATGCAGCCAATGAACCCAGTTGGAGAAGATGCAGGTGAGAGTGACAGAGGTATGAAGTAGGAACCACTCTCGTCAGGATCATTCTTTCTGTGTTTGTGTGTTTGTGTGAACTGCGCTAAGAGCCAACGACCTGGGTTCAATTCCCTGCGTTGTGTAAACGCCAGCACTGCTGAGACAAAGGCGGCCGGGCGTGGTGCTGGCCACATCACCCTCTCGAGGTGTTACTCGCTAGCAGCACTTGCCTCGACTGACTGGTCAAGGCTACATCATGGGGGACCGTTGTGTTTGTTACGCAAGTTTGTCATGGCAGGGGAAGTGACTTTGATTCATGAGCCGGGTGCTTGGAGCTGGAAAGAAGCCGCCTCCCCCCCCCCCCCCTGTTACGATGCATGCAGGGGCACGTGCAGGACGCTAGGAATCGCGTGGCCAGGATAGGGTAGACAACTTAGAGACAGTGCCGGATGAAGCTCGTGCGGGGCCTGTAGCAAATAACGTTATATAGAGGCCCTAAAATGTTTGTAAAAAACACGAAAATATTAAAACATACATTTTAAATCTTGATTTGAAGCTTTCGTGACTGCAGAAATCCATACTAGTTGGTTCTTTCGGTAAAGTCATCACGTAGGTAGACAAATAATAGATCACGACGTTTCGTGCGCAACACAAGGTCGTGATTTATTTTATTTTATACCTACGTGACTTTACCGAAAGAACCAAAGAGTATACATTTTTAACTTGCAGAGTAAAGTAATTGTACTTTTTCATTTGATATACAGCCAGATAATGACAAATCTCTAAACTTAAACACCCAGTCGTTCATTAAAGTTGAAGGTGGTATAGTACTATAGTAATAGAGCAAGTGCAGAATCACTGAACCGGAATTTATATTTTGAAAGCATTTAGCGTTGGGCCCTTGAAAGTGCGGGGCCCGTAGCATATGTAGCTACTTTTGCTACTACGATAATAAGACACTGATAAGTAGCACATGCCATTGTTGCTACTAGGATAATGCGGCACTGCTTGGAGGTTGTGAATGCGAAAAGGATGGTCCAGACCGTCTGGGAAGAGAAGGGGAGTGCTCAACAAATTGCTTAAATTCTGGCTCGCAGCTCTAGTCAATAATACTTTATTACGTTTTGGTGAATGATCGATTGTTCTGTTATGATGTTTTAAAGCAATAACATTACAAGCAGTAATTAGGCTTGGCTTGGTCTTCATATAACTTACTTTGTTTTAGAAAATGTATAACGACTGGGGAAGCCCACCCCAGAATTAGCGCGGTATTTCAGTGGCGCGGTATTTCAGTGGCACACTGGGCACGTGTGTGTGTGTTAAATTTGGACTTACCGATGAACGCTACCAGTGGTGTCAAGATCGACCTCTGTGCCGGAGGTTCGTGAAGGACGCTGCTGACCAGCTGGAGGCAGTCGCCCTCCAACAACAACAGAAGGCAGAGGAGGCGGCTAAAGCGCAGAAAGTTGTCACAGTAGGAGGCACAGGTGGCGCGTCTGCCAGCCATCTCAGTCATCCCACGAGACCTGGGTCTGTTCCGTGACCTCCTGCCAGCGAACCTTTGACAAATCACGGAACCTCAAAGTGCACCTAGCATGGCACAAGCGCGGTTGTGACGTCACTGCCACGTTGTGAACGGCTGTTGTTGTTATACACGAACCTGCATTCGTTATCTATGCAAGTGTTGCACAATCCTACACTTCTAGATTTAAAGCTTTCGTGACTGCAAGGATCCATGCTCTTTGGTTCTATTCGGTAAAGTCACGTAGGTAAAAAATAAAACAAGAAAAATCACGACGTTTCGGCCACAACACAAAAATTCGTGATCTGATCCCATCCGTGAAGGATGTCATTCCTGACTTACAGTACCCTGGGGTTTACAAATTGAGTTGTACCTGCGGTGATTGCTATATCGGGGAGACAAAGCGACATGTCTCTGACCGAATTCGCGAGCACAAATCAGATTTGAAACACGGCAAAACGAATTCTTCTGCCGTAGCTGATCATTGTTACAACGCTGTGGGTGATCACGATATAAATTTCTCCGATACCAAGGTTCTTTGCAAACCCACGGGTTTTTATCAGAGATTTGTTCACGAGGCAATTCAGATATACAAACACAGACACAATTTCAACGGAGAAGATGGTTTCAAATTAAGCAACCATTGGAAAGATGTTCTAAATCGAACCAAACATTAAACTAATTTTCAATGGTACAGCATATTTTCCAAAGTAGTGGTACCCCAAACTTCCGCAGCTCTTAATTTCCCTTATCACACCATCAATAGGTAAACTCCCCCTCTCCTCCCCCACGCCAAACAGCAAGTCCACCGGCACGAACACCACCTCTATGCTAAGTCGGCCAATCAAATGCTAATTTTTATGCTAATTCCTTTGTCAAGGCACCTTGTTTTATCGCACACAGCTTAAAGGTCGCGGTCTGAGCGTGGCTGTGTTTCACTCCAGCGCTGTCCTCGAGACAGCCTGATCCCTTCACCTGATGAAGGCCACTTGTGTTGTGGCCGAAACGTCGTGATTTTTGTTGTTTTATTTTTACCTACGTGACTTTACCGAATAGAACCAAAGAGTATCAATCCTACACTGTTCACTTGGCCTCATCACGCACTCATCACTTACCTCTCTTTATTAAACAGGTCAAGTTGCACCGGCAGAGGAAGGAGATGAGCCAAACGATGAAGAAGGAGAACGTGAGACCTCAACTTAGAGAAGCCAGAAGTCCAGCCAACCTGTCTCAAACCATCTTAACAAATGCAGCAACTTGTACCAATCAACTCACCACTTTACCAATCAACTCACCACTGCTAGAAACTGACCCTCATAGAGTCCATGATCAAGACGCCGGCAATGTAGCGACGTGCAGTTGAACCGCAATGCCTCGTGAGGTTAACGTAAAGATACCAAAGTCCTGGTTAGATCTGGACCATCTGAAAATGGAGATGTAGAACGGGAGGCCTCAACTGTGTGGGCGTGGCTATAGAAATGTGGGCGTTGCTGGTGGTGGAGGGAGGGGCAACCAGCTGACCACGTGTCACTGTTGAGCCTCCCAGACACGTGGTAGCTTTACGTTCATTTTGCAACGTGCACTGTCGTGCTGCTTCACAAATGATTGGCATAGAGACCCCGAATATTTACACAGAGACCCACAGATTTACAAAGTGACCCATATATTCACATAAACACCATAGATTCACATAGAGACCCAAAGGCCCACATACAGACCCACTATTGGACACAGAGCCACATAAATTCAGACAGACACCCAACCACTCACACAGAAAGCCAATGGCTAATATAGTGACCCATTCATGAAAATATAGACGAGCATACTTTATAGAAACTCATAGACTTAGATAAACACATGGTTGTGATTAAACTGGGCTCTCAAATGCGATGAGTTTGATGGTCTCAGCTCGGTCACCAATGACTTCTCAAAACAAAACCCATCGTGTAAATTTGTCCCATCTTTCTGCATTTGTCCGATAATTAAAACGTCTGCTTGGCTGCCGTGTGACAACGTCTCAAGGTGAGTCGTGCGAGGCGTTGCGAGCCCAGCTGTGTGGAGGCTATGCAGGGAATGAAGGGTTCTTGTGACAAGTCGGGTCCAGTCCCATTCACAGCCGTTTGTTTCACACACTGGGGTCGCACCGCTCTGCAACATTGATAAGTGGATTCCTTGAATTATATACTGTTAAAAAAAGTGTATTTTTACATTCGAGTACTGCAAACTCTTCCCTCTCGCGGGTTTAGCTATCATGGTTTTGCAGTTTCATGCCAAGGCTATTGAGGTACAGAGTTCGCCAATCGCGCCCCTGTGGCTGGACCATTCGCGGCTGATCACGAGATTTCTGTACGCGTCGTAACTGCACTGCTCGCGATGATGCTGCTGCCGGGGAAGAACACACACAGTGCCATCTTGTCTCAGTCTTGTCTCTGTCTTGTCTCCATCTTGTCTCTATGTTGTCTCCCGTCTCTTCTCTCAAGCGGCCCATTGGGGGTCCCGGGTCACGTGGTGTTTCCATCCTCGAGTGATGAGGCAGTGAGGTTCAGCCGCCCGCCATTTTTCTTTCTATCATGCGTTAGGAACCGTGAACCAACCCCCATTATCCCCATTTGCCTTCGAGTTTGGGGAAGGCGAATTTTCCGATTGCAGCTTTTTAACAAGAACTTAACCTCGGCGATGGGCAAGAGTTTGCTGTAGACTTCATGCTAAATCAATGCAGGTGTATTCTATTTTTGCAAGGCATAATGCACTTTTATATATTTTGTATGCACAAATTTTATATATATTGAATTTGATTCGAAGATATGCATTACTCAGCGAATTATTGACCTCTTCTATTAATATTGCGAGTAGAGGCCATGCACGAGTATTTATTTGAAATCGTAACGAGTATTACTCTGGAAAAATCTTGATAACCCACACGCCTCCGTACATGTTTTTCAGCAAAACCCGACAATGTAGCACCCAAAGCCAACACAACGATGCTGAGTTGTTTTGGGTTTAATGGCAAGAATGTTGACACAGAGCCCCCAAACAAACACGGGTCATTGTGATGGCGACAGTGACGACTGACCTCTATTGGCTGGAAATGCAGGCATAAAACTGAGATCAACTTTGTTTACCAAGAAGGCATCTTGAGCGCTATACGAGGTTTGCCTGTATACAGCAGTCCCTCGGTTAACAGTGACGTCTGTTAACGGTTGTTCGGTTAACGTTTTGCCTCCCATAGGACCACATGGTTTCTACTAATGTTAACATTGTGATTATCAGTACGTTTACGTTACGCATGCAAGGCGCTAATTTCGGCCAATCTGAGTACTCTTAAATGGGCAGAGCCATGCCCTCAGCCAATCAGCGATGTGCATTTATGAGCGTTTAGACCTCGACTGGCTTTGTTTAAATTATCACGTGTGCTGTTTTGGCAGTGGAAACAGCTCTTTTGCAGACTAAGTGATTTTGACTTATATTTAAACTCACGAGTGAGTTATATTAACAGTTATTTTAGTAAACAGAAGTTTTTGTTGATCGGGACAAAATGTTAACCAAACGACTACTTTATATATACCAGCTGGGGGGAGGGGCATTTCACGGACCCAAGGGATGTGGTTGTTCATGCTTGGATATGTAAGTGGTGGGTGTTGTTGACCTGTGTGTAACAGTGTGCAGAAATGATTTCATTTAAGGTAATCATTCGATAATTGAAACGAAATGTATAATCACTACCTAAAGACTTGTGTATACACAATGTTTTTCATATGCACTCCATACTCTTCTGCACAAAATGGGTCTTCAGTGAACGCGGTGGCATTTGAATCTTGACGTAACGCTTGACAATGCCACGTATGATTGTCCATGAGCTAAAAACTGGTTGCGGCAAATACAATCCCCAAATGGTGAACGGACTGTCCTTGAGCTTTGTTGATGATCATTGCAAGTGCAACTTGAACAGGGGACTAATTAGATTCGTCCGAGTTGGGACGGAGCAGTTGATTCGTTACCTGATCATCGTAATGCGAAGTATTAAAACTCTTTTCCCATGAAGAGAGCCGGTCATCATCATCGCATCGATGCAATTTCTTGCCAATGGGCAGATTTGAAAATCTCGTTCCATTGCAGAGACCTTGTTCTCCAACGTGTGCCCAATGGCAAAAGGGACATCAACGAATTAATTGATTATGCGATTAAAATTAATATCTCAAAACAGTAGTCTTCATGCGAGTGTATAGATTCGGAAAATAGATGCTTATCATACTCTTTGGTTCTATTGGGTAAAGTCACGTAGGTAAAAAAGAAAATAACAAAAATCACGACGTTTCAGCCACAACACAAGCGGCCGTCATCAGGTGAAGGGACGAGATTGTCTGGAGGACAGCGCTGGAGTGAAAAAAGCCTCGCTCAGATCACGACCTTTAAGCTGTGTGAGAAGAAACAAAGCGCCTTGACAAAGGAATTAGCATATAATTTAGCATTGAAATGGCTCATTGAAATAGCAAAGTTAAAGCATACACATCCGCAGAGGCACCCCTTGACAAAGGAATTAGCATAGAATTTAGCATTGAAATAGCTGAGTGATTAGCTTGTAACTGGTCACAGAAATAGCTATGTTAAAGTCAGAGCATATACATTCACCGAGGCACCTAGTACATATCAAACAGGAGAATTTAGCGAAACACAACCACGCTCAGACCGCGGACCTTTAAACTGTGTGCGAGCAAACAAGGTGTCCTGACAAAGAAATGAGCATAAAAAATTAGCATTTTAAATGTAGAATAGATGCTTATCAATTGGCTAATGGGCCCAATATGAATTAATTGGCAAGATTTTGTGATTAAAAGAAAACAAACGACTAAAATACTTCTAACGACCATATTCATGCAAATTAAGGGACGTAACAATGATTCTCCACAAACATCGCAGAACAACCTTATTCGTCCCGATATACGCGTCGTGTGTGTGTCTTGTAGGGCAGTCACCACGAGGTCCAACAATTCTAGTGGGTAGTATGGTTTGAGTTGGTCCACGTACGATCTCTGCTCATGAATCTATTACCAGCGGTGCCTCTGGAGCAGTGGTTCTTAACCTGGGTTCGATCGAACCCCAGGGGTTCGGTGAGTCGATCTCAGGGGTTCGGCAGAGCCCCCGCCACGGAGGTCCGGACACACTTGAATTATTGTGTAAATTTGTGATGACACACACGGCCCGCTTGGCCATCACTGGCTGCAGATGATCATGCTACACTGCTTGGCCAATCAGCGCTGCGGGGAATTTAGTGCGTACTCAGTAGTCAACGTGTGACTGTTGTCGTACGTCGTGTGATTTCTTTGATATTTTATCCATACTAACTATGTCGGGCAAAAGAAGAAAGTGGTCGGACGAATATGTACAACATGGATTCTCATGTATCACGGAACGTGATGGGAGTGAGCGTCCTATCTGCATGATTTGCAACGCCAAGTTGAGCAACTCTAGTCTTGCACCGGCAAAACTAAAGGAACACTTCTTGAAGCTGCATGGAGACGGGTAATACAAGAACACAACACTTGCTGAATTCAGGGTGAAGAGAGCCAGATTCGATGAAAGGGCCACTCTGCCTGCTCTTGGATTTGTACCTGTTAACAAACCGATCCTGACAGCATCGTACGAAGTTGCTTACCTGATCGCAAAGCAGGGCAAGCCACACACCATTGGTGAAACACTTGTGAAACCAGCTGCATTAAAGATGGCGAATCTGATACTCGGAACAGCGGCCGAAGGCAAATTATCCCAAATTCCCCTTTCAAATGACACCGTCAGTGACAGAATAGAAGACATGAGTAAAGACATCTTGGCTCAAGTAGTCGCGGATCTGATTTCAAGCCCGGCAAAATTCAGCCTTCAACTCGACGAAACCACAGACGTTTCTGATCTAAGCCAGCTTGCTGTTTTTGTACGCTATGTGAAAGACGACATGATAAAAGAAGAGTTTTTATTTTGTAAGCCTCTTACAACAACAACGAAGGCAGCCGATGTGAAGAAGCTTGTGGATGACTTCTTCAGAGACAACAATCTTTCATGGGATATGGTTTCTGCAGTTTGTACGGACGGAGCTCCAGTCATGCTGGGAAGAAAGTCTGGTTTTGGTGCGCTAGTAAAGGCCGATGCACCACACATCATTGTGACGCATTGTATTCTGCACAGGCATGCGTTGGCAACAAAAACCTTACCTCCAAAAATGACAGAAGTATTAAAAACTGTGGTGGAATGTGTGAACTATGTGCGAAAAAGTGCTCTGAGGCACCGCATCTTCAGTGAGCTGTGTAAAGAAATGGGCTCTGAATTTGAGGTACTTCTGCTCCATTCTAATATTCGGTGGTTATCCCGGGGACAGGTGCTGAATCGTGTTTTTGCCATGCGTGTGGAATTAGCCCTGTTTTTGCAAGAGCACCAACACTGCCATGCAGATTGCTTCAAAAATCCTGAGTTCATTCTCATTTTAGCGTACATGGCTGATATATTCGCAGCTCTCAATCATCTCAATCAGCAGATGCAGGGTGGTGGAGTCAATATCATGGAAGCGGAAGAACACCTGAATGCTTTTCAAAAAAAGCTACCGTTATGGAAACGACGAACAGAGAACAATAACTTCGCAAACTTCCCGCTTCTGGACGACTGTGCAAGTAAGATCGAAGATGTGTCTGGAATCGGAGATATTTCTGTATCCACGGAACTGAAGCAAACAATTGCCACGCACTTAGATGAGCTTGCAAAGTCTCTCGACGGATATTTCCCTACAAGAGAGTCATATCCAGCATGGGTGAGACAGCCGTTCACGTTTGCTGTTGAAACAGCAGATGTCAATGATGAATTCCTCGACGAAATCATTGAAATTCAGCAGAGCCAGGTTCAACAGCAACTCTTCAGAACAACAACGCTCTCAATGTTTTGGTGTCGACAAATGAACAAGTATCCAGTTATTTCTAAGAAAGCCCTGGATTTTTTTATACCATTTGTTACAACATATCTTTGTGAGCAATCCTTTACGAGGATGCTGGACATAAAAACGAAGAAAAGGAACAGACTTTGCTGTGAAAATGACATGAGAGTGGCACTTGCCAAGGTGAAGCCACGCATATCTGAACTGATCTCTCAAAGGCAACAGCAGAAGTCACATTGATTTCCAGGTATGTAATTTGTTGTGAGTTTATGCATTGTGTTGGTTTTATTCTTTGAACAAGGTAATGTTCATGCACGGCTCATTTTGTGTACCAGTAAAAAACATATCTATGTCTTGAATTTGAAAAAAATCACATTTTATTTTTCACTAAAGAGGGGTTCGGTGAATGCGCATATGAAACTGGTGGGGTTCGGTACCTCCAACAAGGTTAAGAACCACTGCTCTGGAGCCAGAGGGTGGGGGAGCAGCTTGTGCAGCGTGTTTACTTGTACAGAAAATACCTCGGGTCCCCAGCAGGGGGCGATGGGTGGTTCAGGTTATGGCTCACTCGGGCCACGTGCACCATCAGGCTCCGTCCACAGCTGGAGCGGCTGTCGAGTCGGCAACGCTGCTCACGCTGGCGGGGCTCGATGGGCCAGGCTCAGCCTGCAGCGGCGTGCACGGTGGCCACGTCGCCAGGTCGCGCTCGCGGCTCGACCAGCCCGGCCGGCAGCGCGTCGCCCCCCTTGGCACCGGGCACGGTTGACGCTTGCAGACTGAGGAGCGGCTGGGAGAGACGGCGGCCGTCGTCTTCCCCCCTCCTCCTCCTCCCGAGAGTCCTCCGGCAGGTGCCACTACGTCTCGTACGCTGCTCGGTGGACACGCTCCGGATCAGGTTGTCTCGTTCCGCGTCGGTCTCTGATCCGACCCTCGACTGCCCTTCGCCTGTGGCCTGGCGAGCTACTGGGCACACTCACGAACAGTGCTTGCCTCAGGTCTCCTCTCGGAGAGGTTGACTTTGATCGGAGCACAATAGCAACGATCTTCACGCTATGGTCGTGTTCAAATTTTGACTTAAAACTTTCGTGACTGCCTGTCGGCAGCACACCCCCGTGAAGCACGGGCAGGCCTCCTCAGCCCGCGTCTCGGCGCACACCGCAGGTCGTCTTGACAATGCGTCCGCGTTTGCGTGCATCCGTCCGACCCTGTGAACGATCTGCAGGTTCTCCTCCTGCAGCTGCGTCAGCCACCGAGCCATCTGCCCACGCGGTTCCTTGAATGTGAGGAGGAACTGCAGAGCATAATGGTCAGTGCCCACGCGAAATTTCCTGCCATACAGATACGGCCGGAACTGCTTACATGCGAAAATCACGGCATACAGTTTTTGACGGGTCACGCAATAGATCAGTTCGGCCCCGCTCTGAGTCCGGCTGGCGTGTGCGATGACCCACGCCATCCCATCCTGCACCTGTGACAACACCGCGCCAAACCCACTGTTGCAGGCGTCGGTGTCCAGGATAAAATCTGTGGAAAAGTCAGGGAAAGCCAGGGTGGGGGTATGGGTGAGGTGGTCCTTGAGGGTGGTGAAGGCCGTCTGGCAGGCCTCCGTCCACTGATAGGGGTTCTTAGAGGAAGTGAGTTGGGTGAGTGTGCGTGCAATCTCGCTGAATCCCTTCACAAATCGATGAAAATAAGTGGGTAACCCCAAAAATGACCTGAACTCCATCAGGTTCCTCGCCATGCCAGGTCCTGGTTTTCCTCGGGGCGGCAGGGGTCCTTTAGCCCACAGGGCAAACACCGAGCTGCTAGAGTGGTGCGCGTGCAGGGGGTTTACTGTGGCTACCGCGGTGCACCATCGCACCGTTGCTGGGGTACTGTGGAGGTTAAATACCCGCATAAACAGTCGGCCCCCGTCAGTGTTTACCAGCGTGGCCGACCCCGCCACCCCGTACCGTGCCGCCAACTCTGGGTGAGGAGTCAACATTATCTCACCCGATGGTCGGTGGGAGGGGTCGGTGGAGGGCGTCGTTACCGGCACCGGCATCTCCGCGAGGGGCCCGATGGTGACGGCTGACACCAGGATTGCAGCCACAGGTTCGAAGTTGGGGCGATCCGGCTCCTGTCCCAAGAACGGAATCCGCTCCAAGCTGCCCTTCACAGTGGCGCATCGCTGGCGGGGCTGCACGTTGAGCCCCAACTTTTCCAGGTTGGTAACTGCAATACACTCATGGCACAACACGCTCGACACATATAATTTTTGGTCACATACCTGGTGTCCAAGGCTGACCTCCAGGATGATCCTCCCTAGCAGTCCCATCCCAGCTCCACTCGCCGTGTGCAGCGCGCGATCTGGGGCCTGTAGGCGGCCCACATCAACCCCGACCACGCTGCAGTGCGCTGCACTCACGAGCGAGGCTACCGCCAGCA